AAAGCTCATTGTTACACAGTTGAAAAATTTGTTGAATGTAACATTTACATTTTACGTATCCTAAACGACCCACCTAAATTTTTGTGTTAACTTAACACAAAGATAAATATGTTATAAAATAAAATATGTAAAAAAATTAACATAAAAAATATAATATTATGACTTAATTTAGTAAAAAATAGAAAACATATTTTTTTTAAATTAACATTTATAATATGTTAAATTAGCACGGATATTTATTTTTTATTTATTTTTCTTAGAATTTATGCTTTAAAACTACATTATTTTTATATTATTTGTTTACTTACTTATAAATTGTGTTATTTTATTTTAACACTAAAAAATATTAAACATCAATTTAACACAAAATCTTCAAATATTATAATTACATTATGTTATTTGAATATCTTGTTACAAGTTATTTTGAATATTTTACAACTCTTGGTTATATATTAATAATTAAATATAATCACTTTAACAAAAACACGAGTACAAAATATCTTTGAGTGTGCACATTATTTAATTATGACAAAATATATAATCGCGTTCTTTTCTTTTGAATTTAAAAACCTTTTTTAATTTTATCGCAAAGCCAGTTTATACATATAATTTTTGATGGTGAATGATTAATAATTCCGGCAAATATGCCGCGCTGAGATTTACACCACATAAGTTAGATAAAATAAAAGGAATGGGGGTAATTTTCCCGCAACTACTTTACACGCTTTTATGTTATATTAATATTGTATTATGATTTCAGTTTCTTACTGTTGATATTAATGAATTTATTATGAGTTGAATCGATATTTGTTACTTTAAGAAGTAACGCCATTATAAATTATAATCTACATAAAATGATTAATGTAGGACGTGTAAAAGACTTAGTGGTTATTTCATGATACATACGTATAGTGGAGAAATAAAGCATGTTGTGTAGTAAAATACAAGTGCTTTGCTTTCGTATTCTTTGTTTAGTTTATTGTCTTGTATATCCCATCTGTGTGGCATTTTTAGCGAGCGGGATTTATGCTCAAAGCATACAAAGTGCGTAGATTGAATTCAGTGCACTAAATACAACAAATGCATTACGTATCTTATGTCATAAAACTTGTAATACATCTGGAAAGATTGTAATTATTCTTTATTACTTTATATACGTATTTATTCTTTTCTTATTCCTTAATAAAACTTTATAAACGCATTTTATAAGTTATTGTATCATTTTACGTTTTATTTATATACATTATTTGTAAATTTTTATAAGCCATACATACCCCTTCCCCCCCCCCCCCCCCCCCCCCCCCTCTGAGTAGCCATATATCTTAGTAGCCTTATGGGATATACGGCAAAGATGCAAGGGTTTAAAAAAAGCTTATTTTTTAATACAAAATATAAATATTTCGGATTTCTAATATTTCTTTCATAATAGTAGACTGTACAAAGTTTTTACTGATGTAATTAGTTTACTTTAAACATAGTAAATAAATTAAGTTTTTGATAGGTGCGGCGTATATACCTGAGTTACCCTAATGTTAAATCTAATTTCTAATGAAAATATACAAATAAATGTTTACAATATACAAATAATTCTCCACGCAAATTTGCAAAGTGCACAATGTCTTCATTTAATTGATAACGACAAAAAATGCGTTCGTCAGGATGACGAGATACGATATGTACGATGAACGGTGTACATTCATAGAGTCATGATCACCTGACCATGTCTGTATATCAGTGTAGTCCGCGGCGTTGCATTCCGGCTTACCACAAATCCACAAATTGCCACCGTTGACTTTAATTAATGCACACTTCTCCCTATTTCCTACCATCGATTACGTCTATATCTGCCGTCTGTTCAAGCTCAGCTGCATTGCACTTCTATACATATATCTCTGGCCTCTGCCCTGCGTTGTCCACAGATGGAGAGTACGGTGGCGAGCTAGGAAGGTATAATTGTGAATCTCGCTTTATTACAAGCATTTATTAAATTTATTATCCACTCGTATGTCGGGTGTTGAATAAATAAGATTAGATGAAAGCTCACACCACAGCCTTTTGATTGATGATCATTTTTCTTCTCTGATGAAAGTCACTATGATCAAAACGGACGAAGGCGTCGAAAGAAAAAAATCCACGTACGATATCGCCTTCTCTGAAACACATTGGATATGATTCTCCTCGTTAGAGGATCTAACGAACTTTCCGACATCCGGTATCGTTTTACACCGGCGCGGCGCTCGCCTATGCACGCATTATTATTCCCTTATTGTATTATACAACCCGCTCTGGTGGAGTTTGCAACTTTAATTTAACCCGTGTTACACCAAAGCGTAGCGCCTGCCATCCAACATCGCGATTTAATACGAGCGCGCATCCGCCGTTGGATTAATCCGAAACGAAGAAGGAGCCGTTTCTGGTTTAGTTGTTGAGTTAGAAAATTGTTCGTTCGGAATAGCACGGGCACCTCGCACGGGCACCGAGGAATACGAAGGGTGTAAAGGAACCGTTGCGACATCGTGCACACCATCGCGCGTCGACCTTAACTCTTCATTGCGTAACCTTAACGCTGGCGTTAGACTTGTAACCATAATAGACTTTGTTCTCAACTCGTTTCCCGACCGTAGCGCATTTTGCGGAACGCCATCCCGGAAAGTACAAACTTGATCCATCGTGTCTGTATTACGGGAAAACTCAATGTTACGTCGCAGCGCAATCTATGATTTTATCGCATGGCGATATTGTCAATGTTATATTGCAGATAATTAAAGGAACCATTGAAGATGTGAACATTTTAATATACAATCATCATTAAAATATTTATATTTGGTACACTGTTAAATTTATAACGTCAAATTATATCCAATTTCAATTACTTTTAATCATTTTCACAAGTCGCTAATGCTCCTATACGTCGTTAATTTAATTTAACTTAAGAAAATGTATCTCTTAAATTTAACTCAAATTAAAGTACCTGCGTTAAAATGAACGTTGTTTATTTTGAAACTAATCACAGAAATGGGTTGATTTACATTTTGACAAACATGGAAATTAAAAATAACGAAATGTTATTTAAGGAATTGAGTTACCATCATTCCTTTGATGTCTAGCAGTGTGTGTAGCACAATTGAAGAATTTTTTTATAAAAAAAACCAAACAAGTCTAAAAGATTAAAGTTTCAGGAAACAAAGAACTTATTATCTATAAAATTGTTCATATAAATATAATATTCTCATCCGGACATATAATAAATATAAGAACAAAAATTTAGATTTCAATTAATATTTTGAGGATTCAATAAAAAAAACATTTGGATTTGTTTAGTTCTATGGAAATTTTACTATCTCTTCATTCTATAGCATTTTATATTTATCTACTTTTGTATAACATTAATAGTAATAAAGGTAAAGATGGAAATTTATTTAAATATAAATGATAATATTATTTTTTTAAGCAGATAATAATTTTTTACCTTTATTTACAATTTTATAAATTATTCTTATTAACAAAAACATCCCTTGCAAATGTTGAACTCTTATATATCTTGTTTTCTGTTTGATTCTTACCGAAACAAAATTATTTATGAAGTGACGCAGAAAGAGAGAACTATTCTACTCTATAACCAAATTTTCTAAAAATGATCTTATTTGAGAACACAATACTAAAAATTATAATCTTATTTGATTTTTATGGACATTTCAATTATGTAAAATTAGAAAAAGATTTATGTTGGCTTCTAGAAGAATCTAAATAAAAAAATTATCTTATTTTATTTTTATGGAAACCTTTCAATTACATATGGTGTTTTATTTTAATCATCCCAGGCGAATAAGAGAAGAAGAGGAATTAAAAAAATTTTAGATCAAAGTTATATGACTCTGAGGAGAATGCAAGATGGGTTTGACCTTGGGTAATGTTGTCAAGGACAGAGCAAGGTAACTTTGAATCTTTTAATTAGAATCCTCCATTTTCCATTGTATATTTTCGTAGCTTGCAACGAGTTTTCCAAAACTATAATAAAACATTTTTTTATTAAGTACTTTTCGAGTTATAATTTATAATGTTTGAAAGTATCACCGGCATTTGTGTGTGTGTGTGTGTGTGTGTGTGTGTGTGTGTGTGTGTGTGAGAGAGAGAGAGAGAACTGATTAGCATTACCCAAGATATTCGATCGATAAAATCTCTTGAATGCTGTTTAGGATCGTAATCTGAATAATATTTCTTAAGATCAAGGCCAATCCAAGATCCATTAGAAATTGTACCCCTTATTTTCATTTTTACATAAAAATGAATGTTTAGTGTAAAAATGAAAATAAAAGGAATAACCTTTAATGGCCTTAATTTTAGCAAATGTTATTAAAGTCAAAATCCTAAACATTATTCAAAAGGTTTAGCCATCGATCGAATATCTTGGATAATGCTAATCAGTTAATGCCGATAGTACTGTAACTTTCAAGCCTTTAACTCGAAAAAATATTTTATTATAATGTTTTGAAAAGCTCTCGAGGTATATATGATGAAAAATGGGAGTTCCATTCAAAGTTCTTGCTTTGACCTTGACAACGTCACCCAAGGTCAAACCATGATATCATTGTGTATCCGCCTCAAAGTCACATAACTTTTGTATTAAACTCTTTTCAATCCTACGTCTCCTTCCCGAATTATTCGTTTGGAGCGATTAAAATGAAATACTGTATATACAATTGGAAAATTTTTTATGTTTGATTCTGGAAGAACTTGTACGCGTCTTATTCTAAAGTTATGTGTTTCTTGCATACAACAATATTTTCCTACAGATAATAGAGAGTTACTTTTTCACATGGCATAATTAAAATCAATTACAATTCAATTATAACAGATGTACAATATTTTCACGCGTATATCGCGTATAATATGTTCAAATGAAACATAATATAAAGAAAAGAAATTAATGTAAAATTATGTAATAATAAATAGACAAGCATAAAGCAGGAGATGTAATAAATTTATCTTTAACATTCCAGTTTCTCCAATGATCTTCGTGCCGAATCAGCTTGTGGGTGCGCCGACTGGCACCAACGTAACGATTGATTGTCACACAGAAGCTTATCCCCGTGCTATGAGCTACTGGTTTCTAGGAGATGAGATGATTCTCTCCAACGAGAAATACGCGACGAATATCATGGAGAACAGCTACCGCGCGCACATGAGACTCACCATCAGAAACTTGACAGCGAGTGACTTCGGTAGCTACCGGTGCATTAGCAAAAACTCGCTGGGCGAGACGGAAGGATCCATCAGATTATACCGTAAGCTGACGTGCATTTTCTAGCCCGTTCGTGTACGCGGACAAACAATTTTTTCTCCTGACCGCTATCGTTATGCATCTACCGCTGCCGCTTGGTGTGTTTGCCGTGATATTATAGCACGTGGGGACGCGGTTCGCGACGTGAATAATTTAAAAGTGAAACGACTTCCATAAATCGCGAATTCTCCAGCCTTTGTTTAATTTCGCCCGAGTCGAAGATTTATTTAAAGCCGGAGTGGATGTTAGCAGTAAATCGGCACGGTTAAATCGCCGAGAGAGGAAATGTCTCGTGCTTTCCCACCCCTCAGCCCCTTCTACCCTGGTTATATCCTACCCGATCCATGCAATTCCCGCCGCTTGGAGATAAGATGACCCCAGTTAAAATATGAATAAGGCGCCGGAGTTAGAGTTAAATTTATTGGCCGATATTTAAGAAGTTATACGACGTCATTAAAGACGAATGATTTTTATTTCAGCCATTCCGAAGCCATCGGCGGCACCGAAGGCGACGGAGATCAAGAGCAGCGCTAACAATGAAGGTGAGAATCTTATTGAATATATGCATTCTGACGACTCGAAAATCGATATTACCGGCGGACGATCCTCTAACAATTCTCACGTGAAGGCAAACTCATTATCCACATTTTATTCCCAAATCGTAGAATCTTAAAATGCTTTCTTTACCTTTCTCACCTTTTTTGCTACTATATTCAATCCCGAACGAAAAAGTAGTGCGTCTCACTTGAAGAAAAGAATAACGTTAAACCAGAGGGAGGCAAAGCGTGAAAAGGATGATCTGAAATTAAGGCAATATGTCACGCGTCTTTCATGGATAAATAATAGTAGTAATTATTCGAATTAACAGACACCGCGCCGATCTTAACTTTGACATATATTGTTAAGGTCATAACTATGAGTGACCTTCAAAAGGTATTAGGTGGTGGTCACTGTTCGTTCAAAAGTTATTAATAAATAAAGTTTAAAAAATAATGTCTTATTTCTATATACGGATGGGCATACGACTTTCCACGCAAGGCAAGGTCCACTTCACCTTCCCCTCCTGTTTAGAAGAAAGTCCTTGGCACGATCGCTCCTTGGCACGGAGAGAAATAGGGTGGACTTCTTCGCGTAGAAAGTCATATACACCCCTAGGCAGAAAAAGTAGTTTTTAATATTGTATATAGTGGATATAAGATATTATTTTTTAAATTTTATTTGTTAATAACTTTTGGACGGTCGGCCGTCTAAAACCTTTCAAAGGTCACTCAAGATTATCTGGACAACATACAATGAAAAAAGTATTCGTACAGAGAACATTTTTTTTTAGAAAAACTTTATTTTTTAAAAATAAATATTATCTACCGAGAAATGAGTCATCGATGATTTCAACAATTTGACGTCGATTCGAAATTTAATTGACGATCATTACTTGTTGGGCAATTAACAATTTATTTATAAAGAATAAAATGGACTGTATGTTACCTAAAATTATATATAAAAAATTATATACTTAAAAAAAGATGTACTAATTATAGAAAATATATTATCTGAAAAATAAGCGAAAATTAAAAGTTGTATTGTTTAATTGGATGCTCAAAAAATATTCGTACAGTTGAGAAATTCAGTTTCTAAAATTAGGAATACATGCGAAGCTCGTTTGCTTATGTTAGAACAAAATGTATTCATTGCATAGAATTGTTAATTAATGTTTATTTTCTACAAATAAGATTTTTTTTATAAAAAAATTTCCTTGTACGAATACTTTTTGCTCTCACTGTCAAAGTCAAGATCGTCGGCGTGATGTCCATTAATCCAAATAATAATTTGCACCATAATAATTTGCAATTTGAACCTCGATGTCATTATTTAGATAACATCGAGAGAACCTCAAAACATTTGTGACATTTTTTTAAGATGTATGTGTCACTTTTCAAAGCATTACCAAAGTATAGAGATTTCATAGATTGTTCTATTATCTGTATAAAATTTAATAATCTAATAAACATAATTCTCTTATTGGTTAAAAAGTCAATTTATTTTTTGTTTATATTCTTATGCAAAATCGTGTTTTGTAGTACTTATTTGTTGTAAATTTGATGAGAATATAACATTACAAATCAAATCAAATTTTTTTATACAATACATTAACAAAGAATCTCTAATAGATATTTATGCAAAAATTGATTTAGATTTATGGACTCATTGAAAATTTATTTATCTAAAACTAAAGCAAAATATGATTATTGCTTATAAGCTATTTTAAGATAAATTATTTGTTTTACTTTTTGCAGTTGCTTTCAGAATGAATTCAGAACCAAAAGTTATGGCTATTATTTTGGTTGATATAATTTTAATAGCTGGAATTGCAAAGCCAAAACGTTCTTAATTTTCTCATAGATATAATAAAAATAGGCTACGCGTTCCTATAAATTTTGTATAAAGTCACTCTCGGTTTAGTAAGAGTGAGGTAGTTCAAGCATATTGCGTGCGTGCGCGTATCTCTCTCTTTCTCTCTCTCTCTCTCTTTCTCTCTCTCTCTCTCTCTCTCTCTCTCTCTCTCTCAAGTACCGAGTTGAAGAGAGATGCTAATAAAGTTGAAGAAAAATACTAATATGTTCAATTCTTTCTAACGGCACACAAAAGCTAAAGAATCGTACACTCAAAATAGCTATTAAATATTAAGATAAATAATTTTAGTCAAATATTTGATTAATATAAAAATAATTTTACTTTTCTACATTTTTAATAAGTATTAAAACATAACAATATAACCAAGTTTAGTAATAATTACTCACAATCAGTATATTGAAAGATAAAATTATATTCTGTTACATTAATCGTTAAAGATTTGATTGAAATTATTTCATTCAACATTTGATTTCTATTATCAAACCTTTCTTTCAGTGCAGTCCATATTTGTTATGTCTATGAGTTTTCTAGAAAATCATAAGTCTTGAACAAGAGGAATCTACACCAGTTGAGTGATGGGAAATGTTGATCGGATGGGAATTACTCGATTGTTTCGCATCCTTCTAATAAAGTACACAATGTTTCCGCAGTTAGTCTTTATATTAAGCTCGCAGAACCTGCGCATCGGTGCGTTCATGTATTATTAAAGGAGGGCGAATAACTTGGGCAGATGCCTAGGTCAAGTCCCAGTGGTTCTACTGCTTCCATGTTCTCCGTTCTCCCCTCTTCAGCCTCGCGAAACCAATCTCAATATATTGCATTATTAACGCCATACAAGGCTCGGCCACGACGGTATTACCGCCATTAAGCTTTGCAATTTTACTGTACCGGCCTCACCGGCCGCTAGGTGGATTATCGTTATTTCGAAGCGCCTAGGGGGAGAAACTGACCGTTCTAATGAATAACTGTTACTCGAATTTTCGCGAGCTGGTAGCACCAGCTCGGCGCTGCCCGATATTGATGTCGCTATGCGGCTGAATTTTCTCGCGACCCGACCGATCGTAAAAGCTGGAAGATCGTAACCGAGATTTACGAGCGTCGGAGGCGTAAGTCCAACACGCGATTTCTTTGCGAATCGAGCTGAACCGGCGCGATCGTACGTGCGAATAATGGTAATCGAAAACGTTCTTTCGATGGAGATGTCTCGCCATGCCGGAGTAGAAGCGTCGTCGTAACTTCGTCGTACCCATTATCCCCCAGGCTAATGTAATTTACCTGTATTAACGACTCACTCGTAGATGCGCATACTTTGCGTGCGAGACGAGACAGCGCCTTTACTATAATGTATGGCCTCGACTACTGATTAAATATTACGAGAAACTTTGGCGAAATCGGCAAGGGACGCGTCTCTCAAATCACGCTTTCTCTTTCTCTCTCTCTCTCTCTCTCTCTCTCTCTCTCTCTCTCTCACATACACACACCACCGAATCAATCTTAATACTACGGAGGTTATTAATGACCTAGTCGAGGTATGCAATAACTCACGAACACGACGTTAAATACCTAGCAGTTTCCAATGGGACTGCCGTTCGTCTTATCTGCCCAGATAAGATTACGCCATTTGCGAGAAACGATCTGCGATTCGAAATGCAGAAGATGCACGCGACGACATATCAGGAGTCATTCGAGAAAGGAGAAGGCAATGTGGAGAATATTTGCTCTTAGAGAGAAATTAATTTTGTGCGAAAAACGGGAAGGTAAAAATAATTGAGATAATTGAAATAACAACGAATTTTCTGTGAAGAATGTAAAATATGTATAATCGTTTATTACGTTTTTCAGAAAGGCAAACGACGTGTATAATTAACTTGATATTATAAAAAATGATGTTGATAGATGCCAAGCTTTTCATTAGGTTTGTGCATTAATCAAGATTTGACCCTTCCAGCTTGTCCAAATCAGAGAATACAGATTTTAATTTTATATTGCGATATTACATCGTTGGCTTAACCAGCGACCTAATTAGGCGCATTTAAAATTCAATTACTGACGTCGTTGCGAGATACTAGATGGGATGTACATGGCACAAAGTGAGATTGCATTGTTGGTGGTAGCACACAATCTAGATACTAGATAGCACTAACATTTTCAAAAAAAGATCACGGAATTATACCAAAAATCTAATTTTCCAAAGAGCATTTGAACAGTCTGTTAGGCGCACAATTTTCATTTGCAATTCGAATTGCAGTTTTATTTTTGTTAACAAGTTTTATTTTTACATCTGTTTTTCCGATATGTTAAGTAAAAAATTAATTAATAATTTACATATTAAAGATGGCCATATTTTGGCCGAAACGTTTGTAATTTTATGCTTTAATAATGATATTTTAAATATATAACTTTCGCTATTAATGTCCTAAGTGTGGCTATCCACTTCTTTATTTATTGTTTAAAATTATATATATATATCGCACTCCCTCCTCCCCGCAAGAAAACTGACACAAATTTAAAATATGAAATTATTCAGGAAAAGAGGAAATAGAAAAAAGAAAATTGCTTATTTAAAAATTACTACTTACAATAGTGATATATATAAATTAACTAGAGCGCCAGTAATTTCAAGTTACCTGTTAAGCTTGTGTTTAAGCTTCAAGTCTAAAAATAATGTAAATATTAATGTTGTTATGATGTTATGTTAAATTTTTAAAAACTATTCACATTGTCATTCTTCCCGTTTTACTTTAAAATTTTTTTTTCAATTTTCTATCTGAATTCAAAATAATATGATATTCAAGTAATTTCAATGTAGAGTTATGTATAACCTCCAAGAATAATTTATTATACAATTTGTTAATTTTCAATTTTATTATTTTTCAACACAATTTAAACGTAAGTGCAAAATATTAAAATTTGCTTGCTGAAAAACAAATTAAATTATTAAATTTAATGCTACATCTTATTGTAATTTACATTTCTTGTTTATACACTGGAAATATATAAAGAAAAATCCTTTTCCCTTAATTTTTATCAGAACCTTGAATTTAATATAAATTAATAATGATATTGTTTGCAATATGATAGCATATATATATACATATATATAAAACAAAAGAGATAGAAATTAATTCATAAAATA